GATGAGCAGACGTTTCCAAGGGTAATAGAGCTTGCAATTGTGACGTCAGCGGGCAATAGTTCAAATGTATATTCCCGCTGACGTCACATTTGAGGGAATATAACTTTCCGAGGGAAATAGTAAATCTATTTCGGAACACGTGACTAGGTATTGACCAATCAGGATTAGTGTTACATATTGGGTATATAATAATAATTTATTATTCCATCGTAAGAAGTTTGGGGGGATATAGAGAATGGCTCCATCCGTTAATACATCCACCCATCCGTTCGTCCATACATCCATCTATTTGTCTCTCTGGGCAATAATACAAATGCTGTTTGCCCAATATTATTTATATTTTATATGTATATGTCCCATATAAGTTCTGCTCTGATTTTCAAAATGGCCACCAGTTTTAAAATGGCTGCCATTCTAGTGTCAATTTTACAGTATTTTATTTACGACATAAACTGTAATATTATTATGTTTTTGATGCCTAAAATTATGAAGGATACTGATTTAGTTGAAAATCAAATGGTGGGCATCTTGAAATATAGTGGCCGTTACATGCTATTTTACGATTTTTGCTGTAACTCGAAAAGTAGTGAGTGATTTTGTTTAAAATTGATATGTGGAAGCATGGTACACTGTTTGATAACACTTTGGCTACTACATGTAGGTGGCCATTTTGAAAAATGGTGGCCATTTTTATGTGTGTTATATTTACGTTTTTTGCTATAGCTGGAAAAGTAGTACAGTGATTTTGCTTGAAATTTTATACGTAAATACTTAGAATCATATTAAAATGACAATTTTGCATATAGATGGCCATTTCCAAAGAAGATGGGATTTGCTATGCTTTTGCATTGCTGTTATCTAGTTTTTATATTGAATATTGGGGAAGTACGAGGGGGGATTCATAAGTAGTGGGACAAATGCTATAACTTCACTTTTATCAACCAGATTTTATTCAAAATTGGAACACAGAACCACAAACATGTGACCATCATTGTGTGAAAATTTCAACAAGTTACACCCAATTTCAGTAAAGTGAGAGTTCCAAACATGACGTCACAACAGGGTCCACGGAGCACATAGTTTGTCACTAATTGCTAGTTAAATATACAAGTTTCAACTGATATTCAGGACGTGATCTAATCCGTAACTTCTAGTGAGTCCTATTGTTGAGCACATCAATTCTGTGCAAGACTATTGATTCCTTATACTTCTGGTGCAATCTCACTCTTTCTCAAAGTATTCCCCGTGCATTTTTGGTATCTCCTTAACAATTCTAGGTATGCACCCTCAAAACCATTTTTTCCAAGAATGGTCATCTGGGCTCTCACAGCATATTCAGAATACATATACAGAATACCGCCTATATACTGTAGATTTTTTTACTTCTTCTTTCCCATAGACTTCCAACAAACCTCTATAGGTCTCTAATACTGAAAACTTCTTCAAAGCATTAAATTTAATCACAGAACGGATGTTTATATGCGATTCTTGCTTTTTCATTGCTATTTTAATCAAATTTTGCTCCGTCCAAGAAGGACTGAAAATGGCAGTGTCCTGGTGTCACTGCTTTGTGTGACATCACAATAGCATGATGATGTAATGTATGTTACAGTTGTCATGGCTACAAGGCTTGAGACAATATGAAGCCAAATATTTGAAAATAACTGTCATTTTGAGATATTTATGAGCATATTTATGTTGATCAAGCCCTTCATTTTTTTACTGCTCCGTTAACCCCTACTTTTGGTTACCATAGCAACCGTCGAAGGGATCAATTTGTCATTAGTTATTTCATGCATTGGTACTCTTTATACATGCAATAGAAATCCAATTATTAGAGTGTATAAGAAAGAGTAATCTGAGCTTTCATGCCAAGGTTGTATGTGACTGTGAGGCCTATTTTTGATTAATCAAGAAGCACACATATGATTGGAAGATACTAAATATATATTTGTAATTATCATTTTGGATTAATGCTTTCTATTTCTTTCTCATTTAAATGTAAATACCATTTCTTTGGATTTTACATGAATGGTACCTACAAAGGTCTGATATTTTTCATGGATGCTTTTTGGTATAAAAACCCAGAACTAATTCTCTTTTGGCATATTTATTTTAAGACCGCACCATTCTTATTTGTATGTTAAATATTGTTCTCCCTGTGTCTTGTTCTCACTTTTTAGTTGAGAGGAGGTCTTTTATATCAGAATAGGTGTGATAAATGCCTTTGTCTCCACTTGATTGTATTTCAAGCACTAAGATGGTCATTCATTACATTTAATGAACATTTGCCCTGTTTTACAAGGTGGAGAATCAAAACAAGGGCGCATGCTCTTATTGTTTCAAGAAAAGAAGACCATCTTCCAGACTATCAGTTTATTTAAAAAGATTGGTAAATCATGCAATAGCTCAGCACTATCTCATTTATCTTCTACAGTACCATCTAGACATCACTTCACCTAATAGATCAACCTTCTACATCTCACCAATCAAATCAAAAAGCATGTATCATTAAAAGCAATACATGTTTATTAGGCACATTTTCTAAAAAAAATCAAAATATTCTGTTCAGTGACCTTTCCAAAGCTTCTACTTTTAGCTATTTTTCAGTCACATATTCAGAGGGTTGAAAAAGTTATTTCATCATGTTTAGGGTCATTCTGACCATGTACATTGTGATCCTGGTCCTGTAAATATTATGTGGAACTACTTAAACTCAAAAAATGTTTGAAATCCAGCATGGTTTTGTCACATTCTGTTTTGTCATTTCCTTTTAAGTACCATTAGACCTTAATTGATTAGCTAAAGTCAATTCTAGGTCAATGCTTGGACCACTGACATGCCCAATTGCCAAAACTATGCTATAATGTCATACCCAAAAAGGTCAAGTCAAAGAATGGTCCAGGGTATTGAAGCAAGACTAAAGTATTAGTAATTGATATTGTTTGGCCCAGAAAAAAATTTTGAGGCCAAATCTTTGGGCTTAAAAAATTTGTAGGGCCTCAATTAGTGGGTCCTTTTGGTATTACTTGGCCCTTTGTGGTCTTGTTTATTAATTTTTGGTCAACTTATGAAAACAATTTGCCTTAAATTTTAAATTTTGGGTTTTAGGGGCCAAAAAATGATCTACAAAAGCCTTTTTTGACTTGAATTGTAGGCCCCACCAATGATACATACCTGCTCTTGTGTAGTTTATCCAAAGCAATGATTTACCGCTGAAATCTTAACATGCTATCCAAATTAAGTTTGGATTTACCGCCATTTTACAGCAATAATATATCGTGAAACTGATTTGAATAACACTAGTCGCAGTCCACAGCTGTGCCCTTGTTTTGAAACCCCGCCATGGTATAGCTCTTAAAGTCTGAGTGGTTTATGAGGAATAATAGATCAGATGTAGAGAGTGTTGTAAGTGCCATCAACTAATGGTATTTGATTAGGCAAGTTTTGTTCCTTTAAATGAATGGAAATAATATCAAACAGTTTTGGGTAATGCATATATCGGGTGTCCTTTGACTCTTTACAACTTCTACTGATACATTAATTCTCATGACGTACCATCCACGTGTGTGCTATGGGTTAAACTAGTATATCCCTTTATACCAGATATATTGATCTGAGATATGGTATTTCTTTTGATAAAAATACAGGGTGGTCCAAAAAAAGTGAACCCCTGCAACAGGCTATATTTTTCTAAATACATGCATGAATTGGCTCATATTATCACATGTAGAGAAAGATCTAAAATTTTGGTTGATGCCATAATTTATTCTCAGTCTTAATTTTTTGAAGAAATTACAAGAGTTTAACAAACATGCCTGAAAATTAGATATTGTACAAAATTTTACAAATGTGATTCACACAAATTGTTGAACAGCTTTCAGTTAGAGATACAAGTTTAAAACCCTACCATATGACAAAACGGACACTATTCAAGCAGGAAACACAATTCAAGCAGGAAACACATTTCACACTTTCATTGATCATTTTGAAGCATTTTTAACTGTTCAACAGTTCAGTGGTATGTTACCTACACCAACAGTTAGAGGGGCTCCTCTTATGGAAGGAAGTTGCCTCCTGTGGCCAGGAATCTGATAACCCCTTCATCAAATATCTTTAAAGAATCAAAAGAAAATCCAATATTCAATGTTTTCAGCCATATTTCATTAAGATTGGTCCATGATTTATCAAGATATTGACATTTCAAGATCATATAGTGGTATGGTCGCGATTTCACTGGAAAACATTTTCGTCTGAGGAAGCTAAACACATTTCTTTGGATCACAATAACTTTGCAACTAACAAAGGTAGGATGCTAGTTTTAAGCCATAATGTGAAAGATTTAAAATTGAACAAAGTCAGAAAATAAGACTGCAGCTTAAAAATTCTCAGGGGAAAGGAGTTGAAGGGTTGAAAAATCATGGATATTGAAAATCACATCTTCTCCATTTTCAGTAATATTTGGTTAGGGCTTATAATTTCTGCAAATTTCAAGACTATGAAAAATGTATGGTACCAACATAAATTTTAGACCTTCCTCTACAACATGTGAAAATAAAAAAGAATTCCTGCAAGTAATAAGGAAAATATGGCCCGTTGCAGGGGTTCACTTTTTTGGACCACCCTGTAAAATAAAAAGTGTCCATAGTAAAATTCAGAGCTTCCGTTATTAGAAAATGTGTACCAATGCTACCAGAGGAAGCATACCAATAAGTTGGATTACAAACTATAGGGTTACCACTTCCTCTAAAATAGCTAAAATGATCAGAGAATTTTCGAATTGAAAATCAGGAAGTCAGGAAGAACTCAAGGGAATTTTAAGTGAGTGTTTTGGAAAGTTGAAAAGTCCACAAACTGATGATATGAAATGAGAAAATACAAATGAAAACTACCAAAATAACATGCTTGAATCAAAGAGAAGTCAGGGAATTTTCTATTTGAGTTTCATTGAGAATATTGTATTTTCTTTTGAAATAAATACTATTTATTTTTTATTTCAGGAAAAAATGGATGAGGAGTGCAAGCAATTATTTAAAGTCTGCAAAAAATTGAGTAAGTTTTTCATTTACGTTTTTGAACAGTTATTCTTGGATATACTGGAGTCTGTAAAGTCAACTCAGAAACTTTATCATATTGTCTAGTTTTGAATGATGATCATTTTAAACTTAATATTATAAGTTACAACTGAAAAACCTAACACATGGCATGGAATGGAACAAATTAATTGACATTGGTACATTTGTATGTGACCTTCGCTGTGAAATCAAGCAATTTTGTAGAGCCTCCGATCACACTTGCCTCACCTAATTATCCCACATAACAAAATTGGAGAGGGATATAGAGAAGCTGATCGGCTGTCTGTTCATCCATCCATTTGTCAATCCGTCCGTCCATCTGTCAGAGTGATAACTTAAATATGGGTTGATGGATTTGGTTAAAATTTTATAGGCTTTATAATGCCTTATGGGTATAAAACCTCTGCTTGAGAAGGAATTTTTCAGTATGGCCACTCAATTCAAAATAGCCACAATTTTTTGTAAAAGATGTAATCTTTGATAACTCAACAACAAGTAGACAAATTTGGATCAGATTTTATATGCTGATACTTTGAGCTTTGCTCAAGAAGAGATTTTCAAGACTGAATTATAAAATGGCCGCCATTCTTTGTAAAAAATATAATCTCTGATAACTCAAATACCAGTGGATGGCTTTGGTTCAAATTTGTTATGCTTATACCTAGGTACACAGGAGGTCTGGGCAAGAAGGAATTTTTAAGAGGGCAGCTTAATTTCAAAATGGCCGCCATTTTTCATAAAAAATGTAATCCTAACTCAAATATACCAGTTGATGGATTTCAAACTTTATGTGCTGATGCCTAGGAACAAAGGAGTTCTGCTCAATAAGACATATTCAAGATGGCCACCAAATACCCATCCTCCTAAGCAGGTGTCCAGAATACGTACCTCCTTCTTCCCCCTGCTATAACCAATTTGGACGCGCCCGATTTAACTGAATCACGTGATCTAATTATGCGCAATGACTTATACATGATTTCTGTCGCAGTGTTGCGACAGCCAATCAGATTGCGAGTTCTTAATCGGGGAATTGCTAACTGCTTATAGCAGGGTGTAAAAAGAAAGAAGATATTCTGGATTTTGAAGCCCTGTGATCGGAGGATGCCAAATACCAAAATTGCCATTTTTTATAAAAAAACGTAATATTTGATAACTCAAATACTAGTGGATGGATTTGGTTCAAAGGATTGGTATTGATATGGAGAACTGAATTCAACAATGTTTTTCTCTTTAACCAATAATTGAATACATTCTGTAAAAAAACTTGGTCCTTTATGTAATGTTGACTGATTGACAACAATTTAATGCGAAAATAATTTATATATATTTTTTTATATAACTGTTTTTGTAAACATTTTTTGTTTTTTAGTGTAATTGTTTTTTGTTCCTTTTTACCATTTCTTGAGAATGAAATAAAATATCTTTCCGAAGCTTGTTCGAACAAAATAGCATATACAACATTTTCTTAGACTTCCCAATATTATAGTTGTACAAAGGAAATTTTGGTTGATCCAACAAAAAGTATTCAAAAAATTAAAACAAAAACCCCTGAAATAGATAAAAACTAAGATAAACCTTTAATTTCATTAACAAGATACTTTTCTTAAATCAACCAAACTTTCCTTTGTATAATTACAATATTGAGAGACACGTTGTGTTTATGTCATTTTGTTCCAATGAGGTTCGGATAGATGTTTCATTTCATTCCGAACATATGATACCAAGAACAGAAGAAGTGTCCGATGTGTTTTCTAAAACAATATATAGAAAATAATATATAGTAGCCGAGACAACACAAGTCCCATCTATCTATTTCAAATTATATTGTTACCATTCAAAAGATGACGATTAAATTGACAATGTGTCAAAGGAGCACGTAGGTTATCGCAAACAATTTCAGAAGGTTATATCTTGGATTATGACTATTTTCTGACAATGAAGACAGGTTTATCTTTTAGATCAATTCATTATCTCAAAGAAAACTATATACAGTAATAATAAAGTCAAACTCGGAGATATTTAACTAGCAATCAACCCGTCAACACACTTTTTCAAAGATGTTGAACCAATTTTCACCAAAAATGCAATCATTTTTTACAATGCATTACTATTCTCTATTTTGATGTATCAAATACACTGTATGTACAGTGATCGTCTACTATAAAAAGTGTGTGATCAAAGACTCGACAAGATGCGCAAAATTCAAATATTTTGTAACGGTTATTTCTAAAAGATTTATTTGTGTTTATATTAAAGGCTACTGGTGATTCAATTAGGTTTTGTAGGCACAAGAACACCCATATGCTTTGAGAAATATACAGTATATCAGTTTGACCATTTTTCGTAAATGTTATTGATTTTACGATGTAAAGATATAAATACGAAGTAATATGTGTTATTTCATTTAAAAAGCTTAAAAATATCAAAAACAATAGAACATTCTTTACTCTCTTTAATTTTTAATACTTAGGTAGGGTCTTGGGCTTCCATTTGACCGTGATGAAATTCACGTTTCCTCTTAAATAACATGGAATAAATATTCTAACACAGAAACGAATGGATCAGCCTATAGCGCAAGTTTCAGCAAACCATACACCCTTTTCATACATGCTTTTCAAGAGAAGAAAAATGGGGGTTCTCGCAAAATGTATGTCCAAAATAAACATGTGCATCACTGTTCACTGATTCAGTTAATTAAATGGTCAATGTGTGTGCGTCGTTTTGTTTCTGCCTAGGTTTGAATACATTACCATTAAATGATATGTACACTTTACAGTAGAACCTGCTAAGTGAAACCTCTTGAAGCGTAACACCTTATACGTGGAACAGTTTTTAAAGTCCCATTTCAGTCCATTTATTTTACCCTCTGATCCCACTGTATCGCCCATTGTCATGATTGTGCCTGTTTTGGACATGGGGCCTAATAATAAACTTATAAAATATAAAATCTGAAATGTACATTATCTATTTCATTGGGGAGTTAAATCATTCTTTTGCAGCAGGGTATCAATAAGTTATATTAAAATGTAATGACGTAATAACCTTCAGTAGATGCCAGAAGTCAGTTCCCAGTTTCACCATGAGGTGGCTAGCTTGGGTCATATATAAATGACAGGTATAAGGGTTTAAGCTCCTCTAAAGTTTAATATTCAGTAGATTTATTGATCAATTTTCAACTAAGGTCTATAGGTGATTAGCTTGAGAATTTTAGAATTGTATGTAATCGAATGCAAAATAAACACCCAGTGGGCGTTTTTAGAGAAACTCTACAAAGTGTGAAATAAGTACCATGCTATTATCTCTAATGATGGTAATTTTATTTCATTTTGTAGCAGTTGAATCAGAGATTTTGGATGATTACATTCGATTATTGTCAATCACTGAAATTGTCATAAATTCATCACTTTCTACAAGTATGTGTTTATTTATTGATTTCACTTCATTTGGTAATATTCCAGAGAAATTTCTTGTTATCATTTTAAATTTGCCTCTATTTTCAGTAATCTTTCTCATCTTCATCTCTTTTCTTCATGATGTTCTACAAGGTGGTTTATAATGATTTGAAATTTAGGAGTTCGAAATGAAGGTCAGTAAAATCATGTAAACCCAATCACTCTGAAATGCTAAAAGAACATATCATTAGAATCCACATGGTAAAATCACTCACTTGGCTGATCATAAATTGTTTTCATAACAACCTTCTTACTCGATACTGAATGGGAGTTGGAACGTTTGATATGCATGTAATGTTAAGTATTATGTACATTAACCATAGGCATGTCATTGTTCTGGTGTTGGTAATCTAAAAACAGATAATTTGGAGAAATATACATTTCGTTCGGCGGGTTTTTGATTTTGCTTCATTTATCAACTCAGTTCAGGTATTTCGGTTGGGCCAATCACTGGATCCTGTCACCAAATGAATCTTAAGTCTCTTATACAGCATATAGAATACCATCTGTAGGTAAAATGACATTAAGGTGGTAAAGAGAAGAGAAACAAACATACCTTTCCTCCGACATTTCTAATTTTGCGCATCTTGTCGAGTCTTTGATCACCCAATTTTAATAGTAGGCGATCACTGTACATACAGTGAAATAGTTCTTGAAAGAAAAACTTAATTGCTTTAAGATAAGTGTTACCCATGTTATTTCTCCATTGAAAAATCTCATGCTATCCATTGGTTTCAGTTCATTTTGGTCATCCAAATTCAGTATCTTTAAAGTTCCTGGTGCAATTAACTTTTCCTTTTAATAAATCGAACATGTTGCATTTTTGGTGAAAATTAGGTCAACATTTTTGAAAAAGTATGTTGATTGGTCCATTGCCCCTTCAATATCACTTAGGTCTGATTAACTAAATTATCAATATACTTTTTTATCGTATATACTTTTCTTGAAGACAATGAATGGATCTAAAAGATACACCCATGTTCATGATCAGAAAATATTCATAATTCAAGTTAGAATTGTCTGAAATTGTTTGCGATAACCTACGTGCTCCTTTTCAGAAGTTTTTGATGACTGGTTTAAGAGAAACGTGTGTTCAAAATGTTTGCCATATCGATACCTATCCTTTTATATGCTGATGCCTATAGGGGCAGAAGAACTCTGTTTGAGAAGAAATTTTCAATATGGCCACTCAATTCAAAATGGCTGCTATTTTTCATTAAAAGTGTAGTCTTTGATAACCCAGTTGATGGATTTGATTCAAATTTTATATGCCGGTGCCTCGGGACAAAACTGCTCTGCTCAAAAAGAAATTTTTCAGGATTGCAGCTGAATTTCAATATGGCCACCTTTTTTGTAAGAAAACATAATCTTTAACAAGGCAAATGGCCACCATTTTTTGTAAAAACATCATCTTTCATAAGTCAAATGCCAGTAGACAGATTTGATTCAAATATTTTATGCTGATACATAGAGGCATATTTAAAAAGGTAAGTTCCAAAATTTTCAAGATGGCCACTATTTATCAAAACATGTTTTGACATTATTTTGTTTGGTGGAATTTGTTACTACGTGGAGTCGATGTCTTCTAGTTTTGACTCATGGATACATGTTATACGATATGTTGCATGATATTACCTACAATACCTTATTTGGCATGAGATTATATACATGTATTTTTTCTATAATAATTTGCCAATTAAAAAGACAAAATAAAGTGATGGATAGAAGTATATATCCTTGCAAAACTAAGAACTGGAACATTAAAACTGCACAATACACCCCTGGAGGAGCGAAAATGTGCTTTATATATGTGACACTAATGAGAGTGAGGATGAGATACTCTTCACTCTCAGGTGCCTACTACAATGATTTGAGAAAAGAATAATACATTATGTTTTACCATTGGTGTCTATGAGAACTAAAATTTTGAAATGCATTTTTCTCTAAACTGTTTTAATGCATGGATGAGTTCATTGCTTATAATATATTCATATCATGAACAAATTTATGAGCCAAAGTGGCTTAAACTTTATATGGGGGCTTTAACACGCTGGCACCTAACATCGACACTGGTACTATTATCATATTATGCTGTTTATTAGACTTATGCACACACACTGTCTCCCTTTCGTAGATGGAAAGGAACAATAAACTCATACTTAAACAATGATTCTGCATGTAAAGATTTGTAGCTGTACCTGAATGTAGCTTTTAGAAGTCACATGTTGGCTTAATTGTATTTGTGGAAAAACTGCAATACTTGCATCATACAAACACTACTTCATTTTGAAACGCATCAGTACTGACATACATGTACATGTATAAGGAAATGCAAGGGCAACATGAATTGTTACTGCTAAAATGTCCAATTATTCAATAAATAAATGTTTTGACAGTCACAAAAGTATTGCTAATCAATTGAATGAATTATATTCCAGCCTGATTTGCACATGTCAAGCTTGGAAAATCACACATCTATCCCATTTATTTATTTACATTTGTGAATACTTAATCATACCTTTTCGCCTTCATATTATTTAAAAGTTCAATATTTGCTTGAATCTGCCTGGTACATATGAATTAACTGAATACTCTACTTAATACTTTTTTGCAATTCAGGTGACCCAGATGACATCCTCATTAGATGTCTCATTAAGAAGACCCCTGCATACAGGAAAGAGCTTGCCGGGAGATTCAAGGATCAGTATGATCTGGTAGGATAACATTGACTATTATTGCAAATGCCTTGTGGGAGTTGGTTTCTTGTTTAAGTGGAGGTTTTGCACTATTCCCGGGTAAGTATTGGGAATTTTGCACAAAGTCAGAATAAGAACCCGGATATTGAATTATTTGTGTCTCCAAAAATCCAACAAAATCCTCAGTAATGCCTAAGTCACATTTGCTCCGATTCATCATATGGTGCCTGGTCGATTGCAGTATTTTGTTAAAAACTGATTTCATCTTGCTTCATACTGTCTAAACTTTTTTAAATCATGTAGAATATCCCAAACATTTTCAGACATTTATATCTTGGATAATAACTAATTTCTGACCACGGAGACAGGTATATTTTTTAGATCCATTCATTATCTCAAAAGAAAAGCATATACAATGATATTGAGTAAGCGATCAAACGACCAACATACTTTTTCAAGATGTCTACCTCTTTTTCACCAAAAATGCAATTAGTTTTTACAATGTTTGATGCATTACTTTTCTTTATTTTAATGTATCAATTAGTTCCTGAAAGAAAAACTGAATTCCTCAAAGATTAGTGTTCCTCATGTTATTTCCCCATTGAAAAAACTCATGCTATCCATTGGTTTCAGCTCATTTTGGTCATCCAAATTGAATATCTTTAAAGTCCCTGGAGAAATCCACTTTTCCTTGAGGAAGTATAACATTTCTAAAAAGCAAATTATAATTATGCATTCAACAATAAAATAAAAAGTTGCATTTTTAGTGAAAATGAGGTCAACATACAGGTACATGAAAAAGTATGTTGATTGGTCCATTGCCCCTTTAATACCACTTAATCTGATCAACTTAATTATCTTTTTACATACTTTTTCTTGGAGATAATGAAGGGGTCTAAAAGATACACCCATGTTCACGATCAGAAAATATTCATGATTCAAGTTAGTGTCATCTGAAATTGTTTGTGATTAAATTTTAGGTACCATTATCCAGGAAACTTTTAAAACAACCCCATAGGTACTATTTATTTGTGACAATTTGGCTAGTGGTAGCCATTTTTATGTGTGTTAGTTTACGATTTTTGCTATAACTGAAAAAGTAGTGGAGGGATTTTGTACAAAAGGCACCCATGGCTGTCCGATGGGATTTGCTACGCATTGGCATTGCTGTTTTACTTTTATCTAAACTTTGAATATAAACGACTCCCAAAGGCAATCACAATTTAACTATCAACACGAACAAGTAGTGTAAATTAATTAATTAGTGTAAGTTAATTAGTTGATATATCCCAATGACTTATCTGCATATGACTCAGAAAAATGAATGATAGGTCATGAACAGATACAATGTACACTGGCGGATCAATGTTCCATGGGGCCTGCCCCCCCCCCTTTGGTGGGCCCAGAAAAAAAAATTTGGGGCTAATAAAATATTTGGGCCCAAAAATTTTGTAGGGTCTCAATCAATGGGCCATTTTGGACATCACTTGGCATTATTTGCCAAATTATAAATTTTTGAATTGATAATTGTTACTGTACATTATTACCTGCAGGACTTGCACAGTGAGCTGAAAGCAGCCCTTGGTTCACCTTATGCTGCATTGTTAGATGCCCTCCTAGGAGACAAGAGTGCTGCTGATGCAGAGGCTGTGCATAAAGCCCTACATGTGAGTTTACCTTGATATCATATTACACTGTACTTAAATGTGAACACTTGCAATAGTGTAAGAGCAAAGGAGAAAATCACTTCATGTCTGTTATGGCCAATCTGCAAAATGTAAGAATATTTGAAGCATTTTATTCAGAGAATTGAAAAAATGATCATTTGAAAAAAGTGTAAACTACTTTTTAGCGCCCGGGTGCTGAAAGTATGTCAAAACAGTTCAAAAAGTTGTCCTGATTAGCGCCAATATGAGTCCCAATTTAGAAAAAATCCCAGAGTTTCACTTTCAGTTTGGAAAAAATTAGATTTTTTTTGTTTCGCAACGTTTGCATGAACTGTGGGGGTTCTTCCCTATCCTTCTCTTTTTGCTTCACCAATGGAATATAAAACATGTACTTACATCAGTATTTTAATTAGCAAGTCGATAGGAAAATGATATAAACCTACTGAATCAAATTCAAATTTTTTCTCAGCCTCATTTTGGATTGCATATCGGGACCAACTACATGTATTTTCAACACATACTGAAATGAGATGGCAATTAAGATTAAGGAAATATTCACCGGTAGACGTCAATGTAATGGATATGGACTTGAATTACCAACATTATATACATCTTACTGTATAGTGAAAAGAGTGATATATTCAAGCAGGAATACCTTTTGGAAAACTGCAAAAAGTAACTTATACCAGCAAGTACTCTATTATCGCCCACTGGATTTGTTACGTTTGACCATAACGATTGTTGATTCTCAACCCAGGGGCTCACCCATGGGCCCCCAAAAGTCTGGGGGGCCCTAATAGGGACTTGGGCGCCAGTTACAGCTAATACGGTATCAATTTTTCTTTCATTTCAGGCTTATACTATATAGTTCCAATGTACATGGGGTTTAACATGTCAACCTAAGTGGAAAAAGACTGGTTTTTGAGGAGTATACATTTGTCATTTCATAATGTCATCTGTGTTGTTTCAATGTTTTGCAGGGATCTGGTAACAAAGCTGTTGCGCTGGTTAAGTTACTGGTTGACAAGACTCCAGAAGAACTACAGGCCATCAAGGACTCATACAAAAATGGTAGGTTAACATGTTTTATGACTGACAAGGAGTGTTGACATATTGCCACCATTTTTCGTGACTGGCATTTGGCACTAGTGTCAGCATCATCATAATTTTATGGTGTTTGGCATTGATGTCTGTAATTAATAATTATACACTTTTGAAATCAATCAAGAGGTAATATTTTGTCTTGTTTTATTTTAATATTGTAACCTCATTAAAGTAAAAGGACTTCTAAGTTGGAAAACATATGCATATTAAAGGCTATATTTTGCACATTTAGAACATGGGGAGAGCTTAGAGGAAGACATTAAATATCTGGCTGATGAAGAATGTGAGGCTTTATTGCTGACACTGCTCAATGATGGGAAGAACCAGGACCATGATATAGATTTTGATGCTGCTGAGGAGGACGCTAAGGAACTTCACGAGGTGAATGGCTATTTGTTTAAACAAATAAACCACTCATTAGTCCTGAAATTTAACTTTCAAGAAATGTAGACTTTATAATACTGTAGAAAAAGAAATTATAGCGGGAACAAATTATAACGAAATGCTGCCAAAATCAAAAATCGCGAGAAGAAATTATAACGGTCCAAGAGCCCAATAATTTCATGTCAAACTAGGCCTAGAAAGCCCATTGTTCTAGCCGAGGTTTTAATGCTTGATTCCCGAAATTATTAAGGGTTACCGCTGTGAGCGATAATAGAGTTACTAATTCACGCGAACTTACTGTGTTTAAATGAAAGCCCCTCACGGTTCATATACTTTCGAATACTCATTCTAATACTAGTTATGCTTCCTTGATTGTTTGATTACTCATACAGTCATCATATTTGGTTTCTCTGGTACGTAATCAGTATTAATTCAAAAGATAAAACGACCTATTTTGCCATGACGTTTTTAATTTACGAACGAATAAAATTAGTAACAACTTAATTGTTCGCCTTTTGTTTTTCAATAAATGTATACATACATGCTCTCAGTAATTACCTGTTAATTATTGGCTTACTTATTGTACTTTCCAGGTAAGTTTTAATTCTAATTAACGGATTATAACAATCAAGTAAACCGGTGACACAAGACTTTCTTTATAATCGCCTAATATAATGTTTAATGCCAGCGGGAAAACAAACAGCTTATCCCTGTATCTAAATATTTTCTTCAGGAATGGTACGTTGATAAGATGCTAAACTGTTGTTTATATTGTTTCTGATTTGTATAGTTTGAAACATTGTCTGTAGTTTTACGTTATGTGTTTTTGTGTTCGTTCTTTTTCTAGTAGCAAAGGTAATTAAAATACCGATCGTAAATCTAATGTAGCAATAAAACTTCGACGAGGCGGTCTAACATTCTGGCGTTTCATGATTTCAGTAAGTTTTATTTTTTTGAATAAACTTTCGCGGAATTAATCATAACGGTCGAAGCCTGACGCTATTTTTCGCTATAATATTTTCCTCGTTATATTTTCTTCTCCTACAGTACTACATACATGTACATGTAGGAGGTTTTAGAGATGCCATCATAACTTTCCAAATTATTATTTACATGTATGTGTATAACTAACTGAGGCACAACATGTTTGTCATTATCAATCAATATGTTTTTATCATGATTTTTTTTACAATCTCTTGGTTTTTCAAATCCATCTTGATTGTCTGGAAGTAAGCCTACACTGTGACATATGCAAGACTGTGGAGCTTTACATCATAAAAGGCACTGATGCTTCAATGAATCGAGAAATGAGACAACTAATTATTGAAAATACAATCATAATGTGCCACTACCTTGATGTCTTTATGCACCATTCAAAATTTCGCGTGAGACATCCCCCCCACGTGTGGAGGGTAAGGAATTTGATACAAAATATTGCCCCCAGGGGAAGGAATTTGACGGGGAATTTCATCCTGGGAGTGAGGAATTTGATTTGCATGTGCCCGGGAGTGGGGATTTTTGACTGGATATGTTTTGTCAAGTATACACTCTAGGAAACTCATGATTTGCCGGGTTTACAAAAAACACCGACCGCCGATCACCGACCAGTCACTCTCCACAGTTGGGTACATGTGGTCGGTGGTCGGCTGACGGTCTTTTACATAAAGATGAAAAAATGCAAAATTAAAAGTAAAACTAAAACTGGGAATCCAATGACTATAGTACCTTTACTAGGTCGTGATTTAAAAACGTATAATTAATCATTTCAAATCACTATGAAAACGTTACATCGTCGTGGTGTGTAATGTCATATTTTTAAGTGATGTTTCAGTTGTTAGAAGACCAATTTCATCCTGGTTAGTCACTTTGGAAAAAAACTCACGTAACATTGCATTAAGTTCATTCATATGAAACGCCATAACAAAAACACACAAACATCGTCGATGTTGACGTCGTAACGTTATGTTTGATTTCTCAGTTGTTAAACGTCAACTGGTAAAAACTACATTTGATATGACAAAAAAGCTTTCTAATGGTGTACTGAAATGGTAAGTCACTTTTAATCCCGATAAGAGAACGCATTTAACATTATATCGTGTTCAGTATTCAGTAGGCTATGACGATAACAAATCATTTTTGTTTCGAAATTGTTAAATTTCAGTAAAAAATTAGGATAGATTCCCGTAGAAACGATAGGTTGGTTAATGATAGGTTAGGACCTAAGGCAGGACAATTAATCGAGAGGAGACGGCCATGCCCAATTTGTTTGCTTGCCATTTGTTGCAAGGTACAAAATCGGTAAAAAACGTTGCCTAGTCCAACGATTGACGTTCAAAATCAAATTATTAATATTTTAAGGCTACAAATATGTTCGGTCTTTTACATGATATGGTCGGTCTTTTACACATTTTCTTCAAACCCTGTTTTGAGGCTACCAGTGGAAAACACCGACCGGTCGGTGGTCGGTGGTCGGTGGGGTCAGTCTTTTTCGTAAACCCTGATTTGCCAATGATTGGTAAATTAAATGAACTAAAGATTGAGAACAGTTGAAAATAGACTCCTCTACAAGTTGGGCATGGTTTCATGGGGTAAATTTGCCAAGAATAATGGCTAGAGAGAGGAATTCTAGATATGATACAAGAAAACTTGAAGCAAATGCGTGACATATATGCAATAAGTGTGAAATTCCGAACAGACTGCATTCGTTTTTTTGGCATTCTTTTTTCAGTGTTTGTTTTTTATGTTCTTCTCCTGAAATATTTTTGCTTGACAATAATCAGAGAAAATGCATATTTAACTTCAGTTTCTTCAGCAAATGCGTGACAAATATGCAAATTGCAGTACAGTTGGATGGCCTGTACTTGTATTCATAGCATTGTCATAATTTAATTTGGATGAATAAAATGGAGGGAGGTAACCCAATAATGTAAATAGCCAAATGCGTCATTGCATTAATTACAATGTAGTGCACTTTCGAAAACTAGTTTGATGTGTATTTCTATGTACCCTTCAAACTAAACAATTCGCCCATCCATTCCATAAATAATGATCGTCCATCCAAATATATTCTCCACTTTTGTTGAACAGATACAAAGCAATAGTAAAAGCATGCCCTTCCCGACTCATTTTTTGTCAAAACTATTAGGTGATTTGAACTGATATTCTACTAAAAGACATCATGTTGAAAATGTCATTAGAATGGTTTGTTCTCATTTGCTTTTGATTATATTGGCAATCATGTCATTTTTTGGTTAACTGGGCTTTCTGCGAAACATTCATGACCATATACTGTATATGATGGCATCCCTAATATTATAACATTGAGATAAACAAAGTAGTACACATGTAACTCTTAACATTCATGAACATTAGCCTACAAACCAGTAAATATTTAAAAATATTAAATTTGGGTGAGGGACCCGGTGTCTGGAATCTCTGACCAGATTAATTGCCCCAGGGGTAAGGAATTAGACAGGCCAAAACATGTACTTAACTTTTGACATGTAAAAAATAAACAAATCTGACGTCATTTTTTTGCACGCATTGACGTTCATGTTCAAGTTTTGTTGAATATGTGTAACTTAACCTCTCCAATGTGTTAATCAATTGCACAGCACGGAATTAGTGGTTTTCTACAGGAACTCTACAGATCAATGCCACTGAGATGTCAAGGTTTCCATGCAACTACTGTGAAATTAATTGATTTTCTACGCTGAGAGATGAAACATTCTTCTTGATTTGAACAATTTTGAAATCTTTCTTAACTTAGTAAAAATTATTAAATATAGGAAGGATTATAAGCTGCCAATAAGCTTGTTTTTCTTAAACTTGTTTTTCTGTATTTTATTTATGTAAATTATCTAATGCTGTTGTTTTAGGCTGGGGATGGTAGATGGGATAAAGACTCTGAAGTATTTCTGACATTGCTCTCACAGAAAAGCTTGCCACAACTCAATGCCATACTGAAGGCTTATAAACAGGTAACAATCAAATATTCTATTAAACCTTAAAAATATTTTCAATGTCTACGCCATATTACAATTTCATACAAAAACATTTAATACGTTTAACAGAAATGATATTTACAGAAAACATTTAGTATTTTTCTAGTATGCTTAATCCCCCTAAAAATTATTTCACCACCAAAAAGTGATGCCATATTGTTAGAGCCATCAGTTCTTGTTAGTAGCTAGTGGTCATTATCAGTGCATGTAACAAATTGCTACACTTTTGCAATAACTAGCTTGCAAACTAACTACTATACTTAGGGGAGGCATCAAAAGTTCGATGTCGGATAGAAAACTAAATAAATCTAGTTAGGGGGGAGGGGGTTCAAACCCATTTCAGTTTGCTATCCGACAAATTTCAACATTTCAAATTTTGGGCAATTTCGACTCAGAATGCCTTGGAATGGTTTAAAAATAAAGATTTTGCTTTCTTCGTCAAGATCATTCCAATGGATTCTATTCCATCAATAGTTGTTAAAAGCCGCAAATTACGATAGGAATTAACAAAAACTAGTTTGTGTTTAAAATTCTCGAACGGGAAGTCAGTGATCAACTTTCATGGTATTTAGTTTTGGGGGGGAGGGGGGGACAGAGTCAAAACTAGATTTATTTAGTTTCCGATCCGACATAGAACTTTTGATGCCTCCCCTTATAAGTAGCATTTTGTCATGAATAATGCCTTGTTTTACAATTATTTACAATTATACTCTCTGAATTCCCCTTTATGTTGTATTTTACTATACCTACATGTACCTTCGACATACCCCATAGTTGATGACTTATTATTGTTTTTAGATCTCGGGGAAAGCTGCAACTGATGTGGTTGATAAGGAATGCACAGAGGAATTTGCAGAGGCCTTCTCTGCACTAGGTAGGTTCAACCAGATTTGCAAGAACTTCTCTTATCTTGAGGACATACACATCTTCAGAGACATTTCATTAAAGATCAATCAAACTACAGTAGTTTCGAAACTCCTCATGGTGTTTCTCAGTACTGTACATGTATTAACATTTTATTTTTAGTCATGATATGCTATATTGGGCAATGTACATATACCACGATTTAGGAAGAAACTGGCAATGTATACTGCACTTGAACATTTTATGATTATGTTTTGAATTGTTCCTATATCACTGACGTTAAACGTAACTTGGACATACTGCAGCCATTTTGGATTTTCCATCCTAAAATCTTGTCTGTAAAGTCTTGTCTATGCGTTTTCAGGTGAACCGTTTGGTAGATCAATTTCAAATTTTCAGGGATGATTCTTAATATGAAAATGTACAATGATTAGTTTTTTGGCATTCTGGGTAATTGTCAAGGCAGCCATTTTGGATTTTCCGTCCTAAAATATTGTCTGTAAAGTCTTGTCTACGCATTTCCAGGTGAACAGTTCTGTAGATCAATTTCAAATTTTCAGGGATGATCCTTAATATGAAAATGTACAACTGATTAGTTTTTTGGCATTCTGGGTAATTGTCAAGGCAGCCATTTTGGATTTTCCGTCCTAAAATATTGTCTGTAAAGTCTTGTCTACGCATTTCCAGGTGAACAGTTCTGTAGATCAATTTCAAATTTTCAGCGATGATTTTTAGTATGAAATCTAGATCTGATTAGTATTTGGGCATTCTGGGTAAATGTCAAGGCAGCCATTTTGGATTTTCCGTCCTAAAATCTTGTCTGTAGAGTTTTGTTTACGCATTTCCTGGTGAACCGTTTGGTAGATCAATTTCAAATTTTCAGGGATGATTCTTAGTATGAAAATCTAGATCTGATCAGTTTTTTGGCATTCTGGATAAATGTCAAGGCAGCCATTTTGGATTTTCCGTCTTAAAATCCTGCTTGTAAAGTCTTGTCTACGCGTTTTTAGGTGAACCGTTTTGTAGATCAATTTCAAATTTTCAGGGATGATTCTTAGTATGAAAATCTTGATCTAATTAGTTTTTTGGCATTCTGGATAAATGTCAAGGCAGCCATTTTGGATTTTCCGTCTTAAAATCCTGCTTGTAAAGTCTTGTCTACGCGTTTTTAGGTGAACCGTTTTGTAGATCAATTTCAAATTTTCAGGGATAATTCTTAGTATGAAAATCTAGATCTGATTAGTTTTTTGGCATTCTAGGTAAATTTTAAGGTGGCCATTTTGGATTTTCCATAATCAAATTGTGTCGGTAAAGTCTTGTCTACTCATTTTTAGGATAACCATTTGACAGGATCACCCATAGGTGGGGACATTTTGTACACATTTGTGTTCTTGTATAATATTTAAGACGGGGGCTTTTGGGAGTATGGTAGAAACATAAGTGGGAATAATGTAAGGCATAGAGTGTCTCAGTAGTCTGGTGCCTGGGTTTTTATCCCATCGAACAAAGTTCGGAATATAGGGAACACCTCCGTCCGGCTATTTGCCGTCCGTCTGTCTGTCCGTATGTCCGGGCAATAACTCAAATACCGCTGGCCCGATTTTGTTCATATATTGTACACATATACACAATGGCAATAGAAGTTCTGCTCGATAATGGATTTTCAAAATGGCCACTCAAAAAATTTTACAGTAAATTAGGTACTGCATATAAAACTGTAATAGCAGTATGTTTTAAATGTAAAAAAGTTATATAAAACATTGATTAAAGGAACATTCCTGGCCAAAGCTTTTCTATCCTGATGTGATAGCTATAATCATATATATACTTTCCATATTTAGCAAAACACCAGGAAATGTTTAATATAGTCAATATTGATAATTTAAAAATGTAGTGTTCATTTCCAGTAAGCTGCCATCTTTTAAGATTTTACTCAGGAAGTGATGTCATCGACTCTCAACTTCCATGACCTTGCATATAACAGTATAGGGAAGTAGCACAAAATCACTTCAAGACAAGTGATTTTTACTCTATGTGCAAAAAATATTTTCAGAGTTTGTCAGCTTAGAATTATAGAAGAGACTTATAGAAGGATTGAATTACATAGACAAAATTGAAAAAGAATGCACTGCTGGTTTTTGTAATTCTTAATAGCTCCTTATAATGTTATATGCAAAGTTGAGAGTCGATGACATCACTTCCTGAGTGAAATACTAAAAGATGGCAGCCTACTGGAATTCAGCACTACATTTTCAAGTGATCAATATTGACCATATTAAAACATTTTTCCCTGTTTTGCTAAATATGGAAAGTATATATATTGTTATAGCTACCATATTAGGAGAGAAATGGTCTGGCCAGGAATGTTCCTTTAAGCTAGAAATGTATATATAGAAGAAATACATTTTGAAAAATGGCTGCCTTTGCACGTCATTTTACGATTTTTGTTCATATTTGATATGTGAATACTCATGAGCCTTGCACACTGTCTCATGACACTTCGTATAGTAGGCGGCCATTTTAAAAATGGCTGTCGTTTTTACATTTTTTTTTACGATAACTTGAAAAGTATTGGAGCGATTTTGTTCATATTTGATATGTGAATACTTTAAGCATGGCACATTGTCTAATAAAACTTTGGGGAGTAGTTGTCCATTTTGAAAAATGGCCACCATTTTTATGTGTGTTATTTTACATTTTTTATTATAACTCAAAAAGTAATAGAGCGATTTTGTTCATATTAGATATGTGAATACTTGTAAGGATTGCATACTGTCTTATGACATTTTGGGTAGTAAGCGGCCATTTTAAAAAATGGCCAGCATTGGCGATTTTTTAACAATTTTATATGTGGTTACTTAAAAGCATATAACTTCTTCTGATGACAACTTGGCTAGTGATCAACCATTTTGAAAATGGTGGCCTTTCTTATAGGTGTTATTTTATGATATTTGCTATCATAAATTTTTATCAAGGATAAATCCAAGATGTTTATGCAAAGTTTTACTTGGAATGACTTTTCCGTCAAAATAAAGTGGTGTTTTGGAAGTTTTTGATCCGGTTTGAATGGAATATGACTTTTACACTTTTGGAAGGTTTGAATTTAAGGAACCATTTCTTTGACCACAGATTAATTTTATTTATTTTATTTAGATCATTTTGAATCTGCTCCGTTTGAGCATTTGATGAATAAAAAAATGAATGTAGAGATTTATCATCAGCATATATGTATGCTTCAGAGTCTAATTTGTCTGGGAGGCTATTACTGAGCCTTGAGGAACACCAGAGTTTATGAAGTTGTTGTCTGAGAAGTTAGAATTTTTGTCACTGATTGATACACAAACTTTTCTATTCCTCAGGTAAGAATCACAAAGATCAACTGTCTTGCCATTAATTCCATAAGATTTCATTTTGTGTATTAAGAGCGAATGTGGGACAGTATCAAACACAGCCGAAATGTCAAGATATACCGAGTTAATGCAGTTTCCTTGTTCCATTTGATGATAAATATAGTCAGTAATTGCTAAAAGTTGAAGTTCTGTGTTGTGGCCAGGGAGAAAACCTGACTGAAACTTGTCTAAGAGGTACATAAATGATATTTACCTTTCTTCTCCACGGTTGTTTTTTTGCAGATGATAAAAATTTATTGATAAAAGATTCAAAGCCATTGTTTGTTTCCAGTGAAGTGTGTTGGGGTTTCTCCTGCACAGTATGCTGAACAACTTAAGAAACACATGAAGTCTGGAAACCCGGTGCTGATTGAGATCCTTATGGCCCATGCTGATGTGAGTTGCATATTATATAGTTTTAATACAATGGATAATAGATAATGAAAGACAGTCACTAAGTTTTACAAGTATGAGAATAGCATGACGTCTTTTGGAACCCCGATACAATTTACCATAGTGCTCTATTCATTTTTATAACTGTCTGGGAAATATAGTTTTGATCATAAGCTTGAGGTAAACATCATATATGTACTCATGTCTGATCATAAGTTCGATTATTATTGTTTGTATGACATATACTGTACCATACAAATGTTAATGCAACCAGGGAGATAGGATCTGTAAGCTTTAGTGTTCATACATATTTTTTTCTGATTTGAAAACTTCGATATAATTTTGATGTGTATCTCTAAGTTTTTCAAGTAAATCTTACAAATGCAAGTTATGTGAGGGGAGTACTGGAAGCACATTTCCTGAGCCTGGTGAGTTGACAGGAACTATTGCAACTGAACATAAAATCATGGGCAAGGTTGTGGAACAAATCAAAGCAACTGTCGAAAAAGTTATTTATAACTCACAGAAGCAGGTACTTACTTATGTCTAATAATGCATTTAAAGATTGCATAGCAACCCTTGAGGACTGTGTCAATGATTTCACACTTATGTGCAACCATAATGTCCAATATTCTTGTGCTAACACAATTTGCATCCATGGTATCCAAGAAGAGGCAAATGAGGATGCAGCTGGATTGGAAGATTGTGCCCTGAGTTTAATTGAGGCTCATAGGGATGTCATCCCTATTTTGAGTTCACATCGGTAAGACAAGTACAATGTCATGTGAAAACCCAGATCCATAATCTGTAAGTTCAGACACCGCCCTGTCAAAAAGTGGGCCATTCGCACAAAATATAGGCTACATGGAACTGGTGAGTCATCTATGAGGTCCTAGGAATCTTGAACTCCTATACCAACTCAAGAATCATGAACAGATTGATCAAGCGTGGTCATCCTATGGGAAGATATATGCTATACCAAGGGCAGGGTAAAACACGCCATGAATTTTCTGTCCTTAGACGATATTGACCAAGTACTTGCAACAGTACCCAACGTTAACAACGGGCAATCACAACCATCTGCAAGATCAACCCCTGCAACAAGACAAGGGGTTGGATAGACTTACAGTAGTGCAACAATCGAGGGTGTCTATTTGTCTATTCAACCATCTACTTAAACAACCAACATGTAAATCTTGGTGTCATCCAAACAGAATCTCAAGAACTAGAGATTTACTCTTTTTTGAACTGATCAACCCCCCTGGTGATGTACATGTTCCTATATGCATATTTGGGATTATTTAATACACCATGTAAGTTCAATATGAAAAACATTGTAATAATTGATGTCAAAATCAAAGAGACCAATAATGCTTGTATTGAGTTCATTTAGTTCATCAGTTTCAAAGAATCAAATTGTGTACCGCCATTGGCTGAGAGGCTTTTTACACTGTTGCTCATAAATATGGAATATTTTATAGATATGAACTGTTTGATGGAATTTCTACAAAATGATAACATTTTGATGAAAATGTGTTATGTGTTCTTATTCCCTCATCAGTTTTGCATAAAAAACTGATTGGTATGAAAAGTTGAAACATTTATGGTTTATTAAACTTGTATTTACTCATTTGACCCCATGACCTCATGGTATTGGTAACTTGAAAGAGGTGTCCAAATCTTAGTTGTAATCATTGTGCACATTTTATAAAAATTTAATTTAGAGTTGGAAGAGTTTATAGGAGGCATGCCCCATAGAATAAGAGAAAAAGAGCAAATTGGCAGGTCATAGGAATGGCGCTCTCTTGCATGAAACAAACTGCCATTGCCATGACCCTAGGGGTGTGTCAGGAACAGTCACTAAAATTTTGCAGTGGTACCAAAGGCACTGGATTATGACTACAGGCCACAGCAATAGTAGCCCAAGAGAGAAAAATGCAAGAAAAGACCACCACCTGTTGCATCTTTGTCATCAAAATTGTTTTAAGTCAACCAGTAGTGTATGAGATGAATGGCTGTCTCACCTCAAAACCTGTGTTCCAGAGGTGATGATGATAGACAACCAGTGCTTTCTTTATAACGAATGCAAGGCCATGAGACCTTTAAAGAGACCACAGCTGACTGATCATAACAAAGAAATGTGCCTTCAATGGGCAGGAAAGCACCAAAACGTTGGACCTAATAATTGGTGTCATATGACAGCATATGAAGAAATAAGATGTGTCCTCCAAAAGTTGATGATTGTGTTCGTTTCTGTCATAGACCAGGGGAAAGAGACAATAAGGAGACTTACTGATGTGGCAGTCCATGAAGGTGACCCTATTTATGTTTGGAGCAGTACTACAGAAATTGCACCCCCTTGGTGATTCCCAAACATAATTTTAGAATAAATTTACCTTTTAGGCCTCCATCAAGTACCACATGTAAACAGAGTGTTTTGGGGCAACATTCAACTGCAGAATGATCATGCTGTTGCATATGCTAGTGGCATCGTGTTATATTACATCAGGGCAGGCAATATGGACCAGCTACCATGGGCACAAAAGTCAGCCAATCAGCAAATGTGGGATGACCTTGGTAATGAGATTCGTGACTTGGACCCCCACGTCAAAATTTAGACACGTTGCGCACTGCCCAGATTGAGGAATAGGGCCTTATTTCACTTTGAAAGGTCAGATGTTTCATTCAATGCAGGTCCCGTAGGGTTGATGCTCTGATTGCAACACAAAGAGGACATAACACATATCAGTGCTATCATTGGATAGAGGACACTTCAATCTTCATGACCAGATGTTTATTTTGTTTGATCTGTTTTACATGAAGATTTGGATTGGGGTGTTTTGAAAATGCAAAAATTCTTAGCGTACCCCTGTTTAAGTAACAGTAATTTTCTAAACTTAAATGTTAATATTTTTCTCTAAAAATGTTGATTTGTAGGTGAAGTATGTGTTTATGATTTGCCTAGAAACTAAATGTTTGAGCCAACTCCAAATAAATGTTCTCTTCCTCCAAAGTTTGACTTCTGAGCTGCCAAATCTAATATTCCATTTTTATGAGCAACAGTGTATATTGGAGAACAAGAATGACAGATTGTTTAGACCTGGATTAGGGTGGACATCTCCAGCTATAAGAAGTAGTAACAACTTCAAGTTTGGAACAAATGATAGTATGCATATCCCAGGTGCAAAACTACATGTCACAAATAAATCTGCCCTTACCTTGTTTAAGGCTATCTTTTGTTGCCTACTTAGAAATTTTAGTTGGGCTCTGAAAATGACGTGTTTGGTGTTTTTAAAGTTCTGAAGAGTCTTTTTAGATTTCATAGCAGTTGGAAGCTTCAACCAATTTGAAATTGCTGAAGCTATTGCAGAGTTTGTAAATCTAGCTGAGCATCTACATGCTTCAGAGTACAGTATCTCAGTTTCCTGTGCATAGGGGTTTTAAAATTGTCAAATAAGTCAGTAATGTAAGAGGGGCTTATGTCATTAACAAGTTTAAACATAAAATTGTTTATTTGGATTTGGCGTCTCGTGTCAAGTTGGCCAGTTTAATAAGTTCAAAACTTTCTCTGTACTGCTTCCATGGATACAGCCTGAGCAGTGAAGTGCAGTTGGTCAAATCTTGCAATAGAGATTTAGATGCTGTGATGTTAAGAATAGCACTATAATCAAAATGAGGTTAGATAAAGGAATTAAATATAGTTTCAAGATGTTTGCTGCCGAGTTTGAATTTGAGTTTATTCATGTTATTTAGAGGGTTTAACATTTTTCTTATTTTCTTATTTTTAGTATCAGGTCACCGATATGCTTGTCATTGGTAAGACATGAGTGAAAATGTAGGTGTCAATGTTCTGGATTTCTTGTGATATCAACATTGTTCAGTTAAGAAGTTGAGACTCGTTATTTTTGTCCCATTAGTATGGAAAATCATTTCAAAGCTCTTTGCAGGTTTGAAGTTTTTTTATCATTCTTATTATTTATTTCATTGATATAGTTTAAAATACAGTTACAATAGCATCCCTAAATTGCCAAAGGGCATTATATAGGAATGGTGAGAGGCTGGGGGTGGCAGGCAGGCAGACAGGGTCCTGGACCAGAGCAGGTGTGACAGGACAACAGGATATCAGAGAGAGACATGAGGGATGGAATTAGCTATTGTGAAGTCAAGTGTCAGTGAAATGGCTTCAGAGTTTATATCTATGCTTAAGTTTGGGCTTCCTGTTTTCAAAATGGAGATAAAATCATTCTGAGGAAGATTATTATTGAGAGAAGGTTCTAATTCAGCAAGTTGCAAAAGAATGTGCTTTAAGGTTTGAGGGCTGCCACAAGCACAATTAGGGCTGTCAACAGAGTTAAAATTATGGGCATAAAATTGAGCTTTAAAAAAGCCATTTTGAGATTGCAGAAGGTATTGCTTAGGATGAAAATCTAGCAGAGCATCTTATGGGCATTTTGAATGGATCAATGTATCTCAAGTTTCTATATCTAACATTACCATACATGTACTTATCAAAAATGTCTGTGATATATGAGGGGCTTGTACCATCGGCAACTTTGAACATAGAATTATTTGATTGTATTCTACGTCTGGAATCAAGTGTTGACCAGTTCAGGAGACTTCGAACCTTTTCTGTCCTGCTCCCTTGGATGCAGCCAGAACAATAGAGAGCCGCTGTGTAATATAGACTATGGAGTCTTCGCAAAAGAAATTTAGAAGCTGTGCTTCTATGGTGCCATATAAAATGGCACCATAATCAAAGTGAGGAAGAATGAATGAGTTGAAGATTGTTTCTAAGTGCTTACTCCCAAGCTTGAATTTGAGTTTCTTTAACGGGTTTAACATTTTTCTTATTATCATAAGATAAGCATGGGTCAAAAATGAGTCCTAAATGTTTGTGCTCGGTATCTCTTGATTTCTACATTGTTTAGTTTTGAGGTTGACACCTTATCAATTTTTGTTCTAGGTGAGTGGAAATTCATCTCGGAACTCTTCTCCGGTTTAAAATTAAGTTTCCAAGTGTTAGACCATTCTTCTACTTTAATTAGATTGGATTTTACCACTGCTTCTATTTATTGTGGTTGTTTTGGGTCAAAAGGATGGTGTAATGAGGTATCATCTGCATAAATGTAGCAATGACCATCACCACCAGGTTTGAACTCCAGTTGCCATTTGTTGGACCATGTTTCAAAATTGGATAAATTTGAATTAAACAAAACATCTACTTCCTGTGGATGTTTGGGGTCAAATGAGTGAAGCTATGAGGTGTCATCTGCTTAGATATAGCAATGACCATCCAGATTATCTGGAAGGTCATTAGTGTATAACAAAAATGATATTGGCCCAAGTATTGAGCCCTGGGGGACGCCACAACTGATATAGTCCGATTCTTGGTAGTTTGAAATTTCCCCAGAGAACTGAACAGCAATTTTCCTATTACTTAGGTATGACTTGATGATATTATGAATTTGCCCTCGCAGGCCAGATGCCTTAAGTTTGTGAAGTAAAAGCTTATGCTGGGGCTGTGTCTAAAAAATTGGGACTTTTCCTTGTTCAAAAGTGCACTGGAGAAAATGTTCAATGGATAAAAATTGATGTATGGTACTACATGTATGTCCAGGTAAAAATCCTGACTGGTGTTTAAAATGGAGATTATCAGTGATAAAGGAATTTTTCGGATAAGCCTTAGTAAAGCTGTTTCCTCCTGTTGATCCTACAATCGTTTTGATTAGTTTAAATGATAAAACATATATTCCTACATATGTTTTCACTTGTTGAGGACCTGTCAACATTACCATTTACTTATTATTGAGGGGTTTAACAACGGTCCACAAAAAATAAAATATATTAGACAACAACATAAACATAGATTTGAACTCTAAAATCTTGATACTCATGACTAACTTTATTTTGAACAATAGCTAATACCCTCCACCTCCAATGACCTAAACTATCCTATGTCACACCTGCTCCAGCCCTCATCCTGCCTGCCTAGCCACTACAACATCCACCTGCCCCCTTACATTCTTATATAATGCCTTTGGCGACTTAAGAATCATATTGTATTTGTACATTAATTATATGTGATTTAATAAATGAATAATAGAAAAAAGTACATTTTTCAGTGTATATTATCACACTTTAAAATACTATACTACTAAGTATTATATTGTCATCATCTTGTGCTGATGGGGGAGGTGTGGGCGTGCGTGTGGGTGTGCAAGTGAGTGGGCACAACATAAATCAAATCTTGTCATCTAATTTCCAGGATAACCGCTTGCCTGTTCAACTTTTAATTTTTACAGATGCAAGAGCACACTTAGTGCCAAGATCTGATTAGGTTAAGGGCATGCTTAGTGAATTACTTGGTGGCCATTTAGAGTTCTTTCATAAATCTTATCATCAGAATTTCAGGAAAACCATTCACACGTTAAACTTAAAATATAGACAGATGTAACAGCAGACTGCAGTGCCAAGATCTGATTAGGTTTTGGTGTGTTCAGGCTTAACTACATGATGGCCATCTTGAATTTATTTTATAAGCAGGCCATTTTGAATTTTTCAACTTGCTCCAAATTGACCAATTTTTAAAGAAATCATCTACAAGTTCTCAGGAGTTCAAATCTGACCTTAGTTTTGAGATTTTACCTTTGCTTGACCTTCACTAAATTCTAACCATGCTACACAGAATTATGTCATTATGCTTTAACTCTGGCATCGTGGCAACTCAGTGAATGGAGGGTATAATACACCCAATATACAATGATGGAGAAACATATAACCCATTGAACTATCATGCAGTCACATTAATATCCGTGCCATGCAAGGTCTACACTGATATTTTGAATAAGCGCCTAACTAAATTCCTTGAGGACAATAATCTGATTCATGGTGAACAATGGGGTTTTCACCATGGTCGCGGCTGTCAAGAACAAGTCCACAGCGTTTACTCAATTATTAACAGTATAAAACTTTCTAAGCTTGACACCTTCATCTGCTATATTTATGCAACTAAAGCATTCTCAAGTGTTAATAGAGATTGCCTATGGAATAAACCTAATAAGATCAGTATCAAATGTTTAAAGCTGTCCAATCTTTATATCAAGATGTCACTTTTAACATCTGCATCAATGGTGTTCTATCTCCCAAAGTAAATGTAACCAATGGCTTTCGGGAGGGCTGTTTCCAACATTATTTTCAGTGTATGTCAATGACCTAGTTTCTGATATTAATCGTCTACAATGTGGAATACAAATAGAGGACCAGAATATAGGTATCCTCTTTTATGCTGATGACATAGCACTTATTGCGAGCATGGCTGAAAAAATACTCTTCATGAATGGCAAATGGAGACTTTTGATTAACCCTCGTAAATCAAAAGTAGTTCATTACCGCCCTAATTGTCATCCGAGGTCAGACTTTGCTTTTAAGTGTGGAGACTTTGATCTGGATTATACAGACACTTAAAAATATCTCGGGATCTGGCTACAAGAACATGTTGATCCAACACATTCAGCTAGAGAAATTGCAAAATCTGCTAATAGAGCCTTGAGTGTGATCATTAGTAAATACAAGCAAACCGGAGGTATGGAGTTCTCAGTCTACAACAAGCTTTATGACTCTTTAGTCCAGCCTATACTCAACTATGGTACATCTTTATTAGGCCTCAACCAACATCAATGTTTGAACAATGTCCAAAATAATGCCAGAAAGTACATCCAGTATTTCAGATATTTATAACCATGTTGTTTGCCAGTCACTTTTGTATATATGTTCTATTGTTTAAACCAGTTTTGTATGTTGTTTCATGCTGTGTTTGTTTTTACTTTTCATTCATGTCTTCATGTTATATATATATATTATATATATAATATATATACATGTATATAGGTCACATTCAATCACTCATGAGTTTGGGTGTTGGCTGTTTTTGTATGCAGTAGTTTATTGTATGCAGTTGTTTAGAAAGTTAGGACAGCTAAGAACTATGATCTTTTAAATAGTAAATAGATATTTTAATATTTTATATTTTGTACTTTGTTATCCCACCGAACGAAGTTCGAGGGGGATATAGAAAAGCCGTCCGTCCGTCCGTTCGTCCGTCCGTTCGTCCGTCCGTCCGTTCGTCCGTCCGTCCGTTCGTGTGTCCGGGCAATAACTCAAATACCGGTTGACGGATTTCATTCAAATTTCATAGGCTTATGCCTTATGGGTGTAGGACCTCTGCTCGAGAAGAAATTTTCAATATGGCCGCTTAATTCAAAATGGTGGCCATTTTTCGGAAAAAATATAATCTTTAATAACTCAAATATTAGTAGATGGATTTGGTTCAAATTTTATATGCTGTTGCCTTGGTACAAAGGAGCCTTGCTCAAGAAGACATTTTCAAGATGGCCACCAAATTTCAAAATGGCGGCCATTTTTCGAAAAAAAAACGTTATCTTTGATAACTCAAAGACCATTGAATGGATTTGGTTCAAATTTTAGATGCTGATGCCTAGGGACAAAGGGAGCTCTGCTCGAGAAAGGATTTTCAAGATGGCAGCTAACTTTCAAAATGGCGGCCATTTTTCGTAAAAAAACGTTATCTTTGATAACTCAAATACCATTGAATGGATTTGGTTTAAATTTTAGATGCTGATGCCTAGGGACATAGGAGCTCTGCTCAAGAAGGGATTTTCAAGGTGGTAGCTAAATTTCAAAATGGCCGCCATTTTTCATAAAATAACGTAACCTTTGATAACTCAAATACCAGTTGACGGATTTGGTTCAAATTCTATATGCTGATGCCTAGAGACAAAGAAGTTCTGCTCAAAAATAAATTTTCAAGATGGCCACTGAATTTCAAATGGCCGCCATTTTTCGTAAAAAAACGTAATTAATGATAACTCAAATACTAGTGGATGGATTTGGTTCCAATTTTATATGCTGATGTTTAGGGAAAATGGAGATATGCTTCAGAAGAAATTTCAAATGCGATAGCTGAATTTCAAAATGGCTGCCATTTTTCATTAAAAATGTAATCTTTGATAACCTAGATACCATTGGACGGACATTCTCTGCTAAAGAAGAAATCTAAAGATGACAGCTGAATTTCAAAATGGCAACCATGTTTCATAAAGACATAATCTTTGATAATTCAAATACCAGTGGATGAATTTGGGTCAATTTTTTTTTCAAAACATGTTTTGTTCGGTGGGATTTGCTACTCCGTGGAGTTGCTGTTTTTCTAGTTGATTTGTGTCTGCCACCCTTTCCCATTTATACGTTCATCTCGAAATTTAAACAGATGTAAGACCAGACTATGTAAGACCAGTGCCAAGATCTGATTAGGTTGTTGGTGTGCTGGGTAAAATACATGGTTATCATTTTGGCCTTCAAAGTGTGTTATTTATAACTGTGTGTCTTGTTTAATACAACACAATTCATTGACCTTGCAGACTAACTTGGGTGCAATACGCAAGGCTTACAAGAAGAAGTATGGCACAGAGCTTGCTGATGATATCTACAAACATTGTGGACCCTCTGGAAAGGTACTTGCTGTCATGGCAGAGAAAAACCCTCCTGGGCAGGCCAAAGCAATTAAGAAGGTAGAGTTATTTAATAAGAAATCTTTCACTGTTTATCATGAGATATCACTCTGGTGTTGAATTGATGTCATTGTGCATGCAGTTTTTCACAATGACCTGCACAATCATGTATACGACACTGACATCATTGGTCGTGCTTCATAACAATGACCTGTACAATCATGTATACAATACTGACATCATTGGTTGTGCTGAATTACAATGACCTGCACGATCATATATACAAAACTGACATCATTGGTTGTGCTTAATCACAATGACATGCACAATCATGTATACAACACTGACATCATTGGTCGTGCTTCATAACAATGACCTGCACAATTATGTATACACAACTGACATCATTGGTCGTGCTTAATAACAATGACCTGCACAATCATGTATACGACACTGACATCATTGGTCGTGCTTCATAGCAATGAGCTGTACAATCATGTATATGACACTGACATCATTTGCGTGCTTCATAGCAATGACCTGTACAATCATGTATATGACACTGACATCAGTGGTCGTGCTTCATAACAATGACCTGCACAATTATGTATACACAACTGACATCATTGGTCGTGCTTAATAACAATGACCTGCATAATCATGTATACGACACTGACATCATTGGTCGTGCTTCATAGCAATGACCTGTACAATCATGTATATGACACTGACATCATTTGCGTGCTTCATAACAATGACCTGCACAATCATGTATACACAACTGACATCGTTGGTCGTGCTTAATATCAATGACCTGCACAATCATGTATACGACACTGTCTTCATTGGTCATGCTTCATAGCAATGACCTGTACAATCATGTATACAACACTGACAGTGACTGCAAATGCAATTTATAATTAAACATGTGTGTCTTCAGAGTGAGGAACAAGCTAAGAAGAAGATGCCTCCAAGTGGTGTAAAGGTGACAGGTCCCCCAAAGAGAGATCCAGTGCGTAAACCCCAGCAGAAGAAGGAAGCATCTGCTCCCCAAGACAGTCCTCTATCCAAACCTAGTAAAAAATCCAATACAGACAGTACAAATAAATCGAATAATAAAAACTCTGACAACAAGGATAAAGACAAACAATCCAAAGATAAAGAGGAACCTAAAACAAGTGGGACAATAAAGCCTGCCAGTAAGTTTAATGTTGATAGTGATGTTAAGGATATCCATGATGCAATCCAAGGGTGGGGCACCAACGAAGGACCTCTGATACAGATACTATCTGGCAGGAGTAATGAACAGAGGCAAGAGATCAAGAAGAAGTATCAAGAAAAGTATGAGAAAGTAAGTGTTTAGATGATTTTTTGTGGAGCAGTAGGGGAGTTAATGTGTTGAATTTTTTTTTTTAATCAATAGGTTTATTTCATAAATACAAAGATACAGTGAATAGACAGGGTTGAGGCATTTCATGTCCCAATATAAAAGTTTACCTTAGAAAGCATATTTGAGATTCAAATATCAAAGGACAATTATAAAATAAAATCTGTAGAATTTAAAAACATAATAATTCTGTTGAAGGGATCGAATTGCAGCTACTGATCATGGGGTAGGGGTGGGTAAAAGAGGGGTCTGAGGTATGTGTCTGTAAGTTCCTGAAAATCAAACATTGTCGGTTCGGGGCGATAGAACCGGTCCGTCTTCTCGCTGCAAGCAGGATGAAATTCTTTGTCACAAAGTTTGGCATTTTTTATAAAATCAAACGCGCGTCGTTGAAACTCACAAGATGTAAATAGCATGTCATTTACATCATACCTTGATGGGGAAAAATAGATCTTATATGTTAGAAGTACTAAATAAAAGTTATCGTGAAAATGAGACAGTTGTTCTCGAGAGAAAAGACCATAAATGCGCATTTAGAGAGTTTTGGTCCGTTTAAAAATCTGTAAAAAATTAGGGTACTTAAAAGCATCGGGAGGCATCATATATTTCAAATTAGACACTAGGAAGTCAATATTGAGCAAGTTATGACTGTTTTAAATTCAAATAAAACCGTTAACCCGTACCAGTCCAGCTTTTGACCCGTACCGGTCAATTTTCGTTAGCTGCGTATACCAAGGGTGATATATGAAATATAATAATTTATATAAAGTTAAAAGTTGGTGTGTTCCATACATTTGGAACACATATTCAATACCCTGGACACAGTGATTCAGGTAAATATACTGCTAGTACAACTGCTTTGTTATGAGTAAAACACAATTCATGATTGTATGTACTAGAACTTGTAGAGGTAAAATGGTATACAGTTAGGCAATTGACCATGTACAGTAAAAGTACATTAGGCTTGCCCAAAGCCTACAGCTGGTCTACATGTATTGTTCTTGAACAATTTAGGCTGAGACTTTTCAACAAAGATATGTGTGTACACACTCATATATTAGCCTCTGACATAACATTTAATTGTTCAATGGTTGAAATTTAATTCTCCATTTGTTTGCAATACATGTATGGGAAGCATGTGAGACAATGTGAGTAGATTGATGCAGCATATATATTAAGAAGAAGAACTTATTTATTGACACAAACTTTAAATCAATCTTGTAATTGGATATAACTTTTATGGATACTTTTCTCATCTGCTAATAAATTTTGACTTAACAAATATCAAATATTTCTCTGTACCAGGATCTACAGGAGGAACTTGAAGGTGAACTGACAGGTGACTTTGAAGAGGTCATCCTTGGACTATTGATGCCACCTATTGAGTACGATGCGTACTGTCTCCATGAAGCGATGGATGGAGCAGGAACAAGTGAAGCTGTTCTCATAGGTGTGTTGTCCACACGCAATGCCAAGCAACTGTCAGCTATAAAGGAGCACTATAAAAAAGGTATGTATAAGTATACATCAATATTCACATGGTGTGTAGTTATTAAAATATTTGAAATCATCTACCCTGTAAATACCTTGCAGATAATGGGCAATTTTCATTGTGCTTCATCTTAGAACAACTCAAATTACATGTAAGAAAAGAAAGAAAAATCAAGAAAAAGTACTCAACCTGAGACATATTTGTTTGAAATATTAGCTAACCTGATCTTAAACATACATGTAGACTATTGACATCTCCCTCAATCTGTTTGCAGAGTTCTACAGTGAACTTAGTGAGGACATAGAAGATGATACCAGTGGTGACTTCAAGGATATCTTACTTGAGCTGGTGAAGGGAGAGAGGGACCAAGGTACAACTGTAGACAATCAGCTAGCAAAAGATGATGCAAAGGCCATATATGATGTAAGTTCACTCACTCTAATGATCATGCTTATTATAAACAGGGTGGTCCAAAAAAGTGAAACCCTGCAACGGGACATATTTCCCTTATTACTTGTAGGAATTCTTTTATATTTTCACATGCTGTAGAGGAAAGTCTAAAATTGATGTTTTCACCATACATTTTGCAGAAATAATAAGCCCTAACCAAATATAACTGAAAATGGATAAAATGTGATTTTCAATATCCACGATTCTTCAACCCTTCAACACCCTTCCACTGACATTTTTTAGGCTGCAGTCTTAAAGAACTAATATTTTCTCACTTTGTTCAATCGTGACTCTCGTACATTATGGCCTAAAACTAGTATCCTACCTTTGTAAGTTGCAAAGTTCTTGTGATCCAAAGAAATGTTCCAAGTTTCCATAGACGATAACATTTTCCTGTGAAATCGCGAATATACCCCTTTATTTTGAAATGTCAATATCTTCAAACCTTCAACACCCTTCCCCTCACAATTTTTAGGCTGCAGTCTTAAAGAACTACTAGTAATATTTTCTCATTTTGTTCAATCTTGAATCCCACACATTACAGATTAAAACTAGCATCCTACCTTTGTTAGTTGCAGAGTTCTTGTGATCCAAAGAAATGTTCTAAGTTTCCATAGACGATAACATTTTCCAGTGAAATCACGAACATACCCCTTGATCTTGAAATGTCAATATCTTCATAAATCATGGACCGATTCTAATGAAATATGGCTCAAAACATTGAATATTGGATTTTCTTTTGATTTTTTAAAGATATTTAATGAAGGGCTTTTCAGATTCCTGGTCACAGGGGGACAACTTCCTTCCACAAGAGGCCCTCCTCTAAATGTTGGTGTAGGTAACATACCCATGAACTGTTGAACGATTAATACTGCTTCAAAATGATCAATGAAAGTGTGAAATGTGTTTTCTGCTTAAATAGTGTCCCTTTTGTCATATGGTAGGGTTTTCAACTTGTATCTCTAAGTGAAAGCTGTTGAAGATCATCCAATGTGTTTCAACAATTTCTATGAATCACATTGGTAAACTTTTGCATAATATCTAATTTTCAGGCATAATCCAGGCTACTCTTTCAAAACTTAAAGGGCTAATCTAGCCACCGCTTCAAAGGTTTTGGCAAAGAATGTGTAATAAAATTCTTTTGATTCTATAAATTGATTTATAGCTCTTTGCTGTCATTTGTAAATACCAATTGACCCCTCTCCATGTCCTTTGATTGGTAATAATCATATCTAAAATGATTTTATTATTATTCACAAGGTTGATGAGGAAGCTGTGAAGGTGAAGGAAGAGAAGTTCACTGAGATATTCTCCAAGCAGAACCGTGCCCAAGTGAGGGCCCTGATTGAGGAGTATAAAGCACTAGCAGGAGATGACATCAGGGAGGGAATCAAGAAATCTGCATCTGGAGACGCTGAGGATGCTTACCTTGGACTGGGTATGTTGATTCTTGTGTCACATTCTCATTTACAGGATGACACAAAAAATCAAACTCTCTAATTTTGGAAGAATTTTGAATCTTCTAAATTTTTAATGAAGATTCCATCATATTGCAAGTGACCTTGTAATGAATAGCTGCCATTTTTCATAAGGAAACATAATCTTTGATAACTCAAGTACCAGTGGACAGATATGGTTCAAATTTCATATGTTGATGCCGGACAAAAAAACTCTGCTCAAGAAGGAATTTTCAAGAAAGTGGTTAAATTTTTCTTTAAAAACGTAATCTTTTATAGCTAAAATATCAGTGGATGGATTTGGGTAGGTAGAAAACTAACTATTTTAAAATTTCAATGCAAAAGGATCAATGTTGTCTTTGATATCGTTTTGGTACTTCTAACATTTGAGTCATGTCATTATTTTTTTGTGTTTAGTTGGTGCTATTGAGGATGTGACTGTATTCTATGCTGAGAGATTACTTAAGGCTTCAAGTGGTATTGGGACGAATGACAAAATGTTGATACGTATTATTGTCTCAAGGTCTGAGGTAAGTCATAGATGATATATACATTTTATACTTAACATGAGTTGTTCTAGAGGGATGATAAATCAAATAACAATTACTTGTGACATCAGAAAACAGCTTTTTCTGGATGGTGGTCGGCACCAGATTCTTGTAACAGAATCTTACAACTTCCACAGTTTAGACTTGCTGCGATTTCTCTCAAAATCATGTATAATGTCTGAGGAGTTGAAATCTGTAGCTTTGAGATTTGACCTGCAATGACCTTCTCAAGGACAAAAGGTCAATTTTTTTGTAACAAATTCTTGTAATAAAATCTTACAACTTACAACTTAAATTATAACAAGTGCCGTTTAGATTGGCTTAAATTTCAAATTCATCTATAAGTTCTCAGAAGTTCAAATCTGACTTTAGATTTGACCTTCTCAAGGTCAAGAAAGTGTCAAAGAGGTATTTTTTGAATTTGCTTCAATTTGACTGGATTTTGTTTTCAAAATCATCTACAAATTCTTCGAAGTTCAAATCTGACTTTAAAGGTATTTTTCTAACTTGCTTCTGACTACAGATTTGACCTATGTTAGACCTTCATCGGTTACAATTGTTACACTTTTGTAACCATTTGCAGGTGGTGACATTTGGTCAAACGCCTTGTTTAATTTAAAATGTTGTGCTTTCATTGTATATGCCACTAACAATGGCATTATTACTTTTTGATTCCAGAAAACATTTGAAATATGCTATTTTAGCACTTGAATATATGCTAGTTGTAAAAGCAAATTGAATATATACTATTTTTAATGATCATCAATTTACTTTTTTGTAATGATGTATAGTATAGTAAAGAAGTTGAAATTAAGCTGAGAGTAAATGATGTAACTATATTAAAATATTAACTCACTGATACAAACTTTTACTTTCATGCAGATTGACCTTGTACAGATAAAGGCAAAGTTCAAGGAGCTCTCCAAAAAGTCCCTAGAGGAGGTCATTGAGGATGAGTGTAGTGGGGACTATAAAAAGATGCTCCTTGCTATCGTCAAGGACAAGTAAGCAGCCATATTGATGGTGTCATATTACATGAACAAGCATGTTGTTTTTGTTGTGTAATTTGCATGCATCCATATATTTCGTGGAATAGTGCTGTTTACTATATGTTTGTTATTGTTCATAGTTCAAACTTATAACATTTAGTGTACAAAACATAAAGATCTGAATTGTTTTTAAATTAGCATGACTCCCAGCAAGGAGCATGGCTATATGTTACTGGTGTGGGACCAGTCTTAGTTGTAGAAATAAGTTTCAAAGAAAATGGTGAAGTCAAGAATTCTGCATCTGATTTTACTGTGGGGTAAATCCATTGGTTTTGTCTAATTTTTGAAAATGCATGCATATGAGTAATTCAAACTATTAAGTGTTTCAAAGAACTTTAATGAGAGCTCATAGTATATAATAGGGCTGGTCATGCTTATCTTTTCTGTCAGTTTTGGGATTTTGTAAAAAAAAAGAAAATAAAGGTGGGTCTTGGAAATAAATGTAAGTCAGTCAGTGAAATTACCCCACAGTTTTACAAAATATAGGATACCTATATTAACATTTATTTTGTACTGTGTACTACTAAAATGTAATAACGTATTATCCCATAGAACATAATTTGGGGGATATAGAGAGAATAACTCAAAAACTGTTTGACTGAGATTGTTTATATTTATGTGTATCTGCCCAAATGAGAGTGCAAGTTCTGCTCGAAAACCAATTTTTAAAATAACCACCAGTTTCAAAATGGCCAGTATTTTAGTATCAACTTTATGCTACATGTACTTAAGTTACAACATAAAAGTGTAATATTAATATGTTTATAATTACAGCTTTTTAAAATGATGACCAAGTTCAGTTAATTGACCGTTTTTATGGAAATGGAGGACAATTCTAGCAGATATTGATTTTAGTGCTTGCTCAGAGGTACTGGTTTGTGTCCATGAATTTTTACTCACACCTCTTTCACACAATGCATTTGTGAAAATGGAATAACAAAATAGTATAAAAAAAATTACTTTTGTAAGAAATTTGATTACTTTTAAAAATGTCTATTTTCATGTTTTCTATCGATTAGATTCATCAAGAATATTAAGAATTTATTCGTAAGAAAAATATTAAGTGTTCCGTACGGAACTGTTAAAAATAAGTGAATACTTAGGATTTTGCAAGGTATTTTGAGAATTCCTCCTTTAGATGATGTCATTGCAAAACTCTTCCTCCACTTACGTAATTTTCACTGTAGTTTACGAATACCATATAGAAGCAAATTCCTTACATCTTGTTGTGAAATTAGAAGTTGTGATATATTGGTTAAGTCAACAGAAATGAACATAATATTATTCAAAGCGTTTTTAGAAATATTTTAAACCATCATCTTGAAAACATGTAGTAATATATAGAATCAAATGATAATCGATCTTCTCATTTGCAATTTGATCCTCTGCAGAATTTTTCTTGCTGTTTGCCTAAGATATAAGATGAATAACCGAATCTTTTTTGGTAAAATCATTTTTGCTTATGATTGTAAATGTACTGTCAAATTTTGAGCAATATTGATGCAGTATTGATGACCAGACTAATTTCTTCAGCTTTTTTTGGATTGTGCACCATACCATTAATTACTAGAATTTATAAGTAAGGTACACAATGAACGAAATTGATTTTGAGAATGAGGACATATGTCTAGACATAGGCCTATATTATAGTCCAAATTCAATTTGCATATTAAATACGGTAAGTTCAATGCACAGATACTCTGTTAAAATAAGGAAACAAATGAAACTGTGTCATGGTGTAAAGTTATATGGAGAAAACATGATTTTAATTGGAATAAAGATAATACTGTACTTATTTCAGAAAGAAAAATAAGATAATTTATCATTATCAAACAAAATACGCAAACTTGGTATCTTAGCAGAATATAGCCATCATGTTTGAAAAGCTGTGATTACAATGAAGATTTAAAATAAGTAATCTGAAAAATAGAATCAAATCCTATGCTAAGGGCTTATGTGATTTTACATTATCAAACAATCAGTTGACATAAAACAAATTGCTATCATCAAAGTACAGATAAAACATTTCATTTTGTTAAAACAAACTTTACTGCATTTTGATACATAAAGTACAAATATATTATAAGGATAAAAGCAATATATTTTGTAAATACCAAAATGATACCTGAAACTGTATAAATGTGTATATTTGTATAGAATATTTGAATATTGCTTTGAGCAAGTAACATTCCACAAGCACTTGTAGTCTAGAAAATCTAAAAACTCATTATCATAATGCCATTGAGCAATTAAAACAATAATAATTATCCTACCCAGTGAAGTTCGAGGGGGATATAAGAAAGCCATCCATCCGTTTGTCCATCCATCTGTCCATTCGTCCGTCCATTTACTCAAATAGAGGTTGATGGACTTGATTCAGATTTTATAGGCTTATTGCCTTATGGGTATGCCTTACGGTCATTTTTTGTAAAAAATATAATCTTTGATAACTCAAATACAAAGGGACAAATTTTAAAGATGGCAGCTGAATTTCAAAATGGCCACCATATTCATTAAAAACATAATCTTTGATAACTTAAATACCAGTGGATGAATTTGGCTCAAATTTTATATGGCTGCTATTTATCAAAACATGTTTTGTTCTGTGGGATTTGCTACTCCGTGGAGTTGCTGTTTTTCTAGTTGCCAATGGAACATCATAAGAGTATTGATTTATGAAACACATATAACAGTGCCATATTTACTTAATAATATTATAGTGTACTTTAGCCTATGCATAGAATATTATATGCATGTACACTGACACCTGTACAAGAGGAATACCTTTAAGGACAACTGAAATAGTAAATTAAACCTAAAAGAATATATTTTGTTTGATAATGAAATTATCTGGATATATCAACTAACCAGTTATGCGGCAACTTTTCATTTTACTACACAAGGTATCTGTTTTATTAGCAATATTTAAATGTTTTGTGACGTTTTATGGCCCCCATGTGACTTTTCATTGGCCCCCATGTGGCCACTAAAACCTGATGTCATAATTCCAAGATGTTTTTCTTATTTGTTTACACAACAATCATGTGGTTGCTATAACGTGGTGATTGCCAAGAAATCAATACTGTAAATTGCTTTAATTTGACAGCCGTTTTAATTTGGCGGATTTGGTGGTTTGATAACAACTGCCAAATTATGACTCCACCAATTATTTGAAAATGAAATTCCTGGTAAATTTCGTCCAGTGCCTTTTTCACGTGTTACATTGGACTTATCAACTTTGGTGAAAATCTTGTTGTATCATGTAATGGGTATAATGTCAATTTCAATTGATTGGATGTTAGACATTGTTTCTTTTCACGTTAGATTATGGTTTTTGAGATATATAGGGTCTACTTTTCTTATGACAGATTTACACTTACAGTTTGCTTTTCTTGTTGGGTTTCTTTAAAGTTTTTAGTCACCCTTCCCTTTGGCATTTGTGCTTATATATTCAAACTATTTCCTAAGATCTAAAGCTGGTTAAGATAAAAGAATCTAATACCAGGAGAGATAAAATTGCATTATCTGTGGTAATTTGTGAAATGAGGAATACAATTGATGATGGAAAATACACCAAATTAAATAGCAGCTAAAATTTTAAGAATTGCCCAATCCGCCAAATTAAATAGTGCCAAATTAAAGCAATTTACAGTAAACCAGAGTGAAGATACTGATATCCATAAGTGAATATAAGTGATATTTTTGAAAAACCATAGGATTGTCCATTTATTCCATGGGGAATTATTATCCAGCGAACATTGGATAGTCAGATAAATTTTAACAAGATTCATTTCAACATTAATATTCACAACAATAAAATACTCACACAAAATATAACGAAGAAATGTGAACAACATTTATAAACAAATCGGCCAAATATCCATTAAGTTCATTAGCATCTATCTGCTCGATCTGTCTGAATTCGCCTCTAGACCCAAGAAATTCGTGGACAATTTTCATATCTAACCTCGTCTTTTTCAACGTGTTTTTCATCCCTTTCATAAACTCGTCCACATCTTCATTTGCAAATCTACCTCCTTGATTGTTTACATCCAGGTCTTCCTCGGAATGGATTATGTTTTTTTTTTCAAATACATGTACGCCTTCCAATGGAAGTTCCATTTCGTCTGACATTTTGATTGCAATAATTCAACGAACGTCATAAACGTGATGTAACAGGGTGGTTTGTATTTAATGCGAACGCCGTAAAAACTAGATCCCAAAAAATAAAATAAAATATAAAGAATCGTTTTGCTGAATTAATAAAAAAAAATTGAAAAAATCAAAACCATCAAATATCACTTTTGAAACCATCCAATATCACTTTTAAAACCATCGAATATCACCTTTCAAAAAGTGATATTCGATGGTTTCAAAAGTGATATTTGATGGTTTTGATTTTTTCAATTTTTTTTTATTGGAGTTGTTTGCTAAAATATGATATCTTCATCCACGTATCAATTATATCTTCACGTGATATTTGATCTATATCCTTGTAACCATGGAATAAAAATAAATATGGCATCACTAATCACATGGGGGCCAATATAAGTGATCGGTTAATTTCATAATAATGTTATCAGACTATTAACCGTAATTTATAATATATATATTTTTTTGTTATTGTAATGGTTATCGTGATAACTTTACGATGCAGAATACCGCATTTTTATAGCTGCAAGTTGAAAAAACCTATTTCAGTTGTGCTTTAAGCTTTTTGATATCTCTAATTGTTCCCCTTAAAAGGTGTTGTACCTGAATTACTGTTTACAAAATAATGTTATGTACAACAGTGATGTACCCAGGAATCTCAACATGGTGCTTAACCTAAATTGTACCTGCCATTTAATCTTAATATTTATCTCATTGAAAGAAGTTTGGGGGATATAGAGAATGGCTCTGTCCTTACGTCCATCATTACTCTTGGCCATATATCATTTATATTTTATACGTAAGCTTATATGCCCCATTTGAGTACAAGGTCTGCTCAAAAGCCAATTTTCAAAATGGCCGTCAGTTTCAAAATGGCCTCCACTTTAGTGTCAATTTTACAGTATTTTAGTTTCAGGATATAAAACTGTAATACTAATATATTTTAAATGCAAAACATTATATAGGATATTGATGAAGTTGAAAATCTGATTATTTAAAAAAACATGGTGGCCATCTTGAAAAATGGTGGCTATTTACTATTTTTGCTGTAAGTGGAAAGGTTGTAGAGCAATTTTGTTCATATTTGACATGTGAATACTGATAATGGTACACTTATAGTCTTATGACACTCCACAGTAGTGGAGCGATTTTGTTGAAATTTTATATGTGACTAATTAGATGCATATTTCACTTTCTTATGACAATTTGGCTTGTGAGAGCCAATTTATGTATATTGTTTTTTGCTGTTACTGGAAATTTTGTTGAAATTGTATACGTAAATAATTAAAAGCAAATTACACTTTCTCATGAATACAATTTGGCTAGTGATCGTCCATTTTAATTTGGCTAATAGGCAGCCATTTCTAAAAATGGCAACCATGGCTGTTCAATGAGATTTGCTACACCTTGGCGTTGCTGTTATCTAGTTCAATTTCGAGAAAGGCGCAAACAAATTTTCAACATGGTGGCATGTTATCTTTGATGTAGCAACCAATTTCTCTTAATGCTGGGAAGATCACTGCACGTACATTGTTGTAATCAATACATGTATATATAAAGGATGCAAATACATATACAGATGTAGGCTTACTATAAGAATCAAGGTTAAAGTAGAAAGTTGAGAAAAAACTGCCATGTTTGATTTTAGAACAAAATTAACTACAATTTGAGGACTAAATTTGAGAAATACCATGCGGTCTGGGCGATAACTCAATGGCTGCCATTTTTCGTAAAAAAGGAATGTAATCTTTGATAACTTAAATTTTATATGTTGATGCCTAGGGACAAACAAGCTATGCTCAAGAAGGAATTTTCAAGATGGCTACTAATAAGCAAAATATGTTTTGTTCAGTGGGACTTGCTACTCCCTGGAGTTGCTGTTTTTCTAGTTAAGTTATATTATACACATTTCTAAATGGATTGATTATAACACTCTTACAATAATGGC